ACAAGTTTAGAACGAAGAAATGCCCATTTTGATTCCCCTTCCATGTAAAGAAATTCATTAGGCGCGTGTTTAACGTCAGTAAATCAACGCGGGTGTGTATAAGTTTGTTTCTTTGTACATGCCTACTGCCTACAGCTCGCACGTTACCTTCCGGTACATTGATGGAGTAAGAGGAATCGAGTTTTAAACAATCGTCATACATTTCATATTTCTTAAGTCGTTAGAAGCTACTCGGTAATCGGTGTGCGTCTACACTGCCTGGAATACGTAAGCGATTGTAGAATGGGCCTTGATTGGCAAGCAGTGCATCGCTCATAGATACTGCACATTGCTTATGCCTCGCGTGACAGAATATCAATTCCTTTGGATATTTCCGCAATGGAACTTGTTCTTTGAATTAACATAATTTTCTTATAATCCAATTTTGTCGTCTTAATACTGTTATTTAACTGTTTTGCTTAACTTGCCGGTGAATATTAATGACTCTTTTGTAGTATCGTATTTAAATCAACTTGATGTGACCTGTAGCACAGTTATTATGAATACGACTGCCATTTATTACTTTTAAATGTTTTAAGTATGCAAATTTTTGCTCTACCAAATTATTCGGATGACAGAATTGTACAGCTAATTCGGGTTTTGGCTACACATTTTTGTAAAATTATAAAGTTAAAGTAATGTAAAAAACTAAGTTTTTTTTGTTTTCGTACAGCTGCTACAAATTTTGACGTTAGTTGTATGGTAATGTAGAGATCAGACAAAGGTAAAACAGTATACTTTTCCAGTTATTTTTATTATATCATTAAAATTAGTGTGTTCATTTTCATGGCAAAGTACCAGATTTTAATTCATACCTGCTACTAAAATTGCCTTAACACGCTAACCGCCACATAGGTTACCATGAGCCGCGTTAACGAAAAATATGTGTTCAAAAGTTTTCTATCGGCAGTTAAAGGCTTGAAGAAAACATTTTCTCTTAGTCTCTTCAGGCCGGGAATGATCAGTGTCAGCCTTCTCAACTCCCTCAACATTTTATGGAATTCACGTAGTTATGCTTTTATTATTTTTTGTGCGTAAAGTTACTTGATAACCGAGGTGACCGCAGCGTGCAATATTCTCATGCGGTTGGCACTTAGTTGGAGTCTATTGTTCTCATTGGACGAGTAGTGCATCTTGTATTGTTATACCACATCGTAAAACGCGTTGTTTTGTTTTTCTCTAATATTTCCACTCTATATACAATAGATTTAGTGGTATGTGGGGTTTGCCTATTTGTAGTATATTTTGTTGCTGGTTTATCTTGTTCATCTTCAACGTCTACCAACAGATCCATTTCCTTTTTATGCGTTGTTTAAACGTTGACTTCTAAAATTAACTTGTGTGCCTTAACTAGAACCTAGTAAAGTCTAAAAAGAGAAAACGAAGTTCATAAAATCCTCAATTCTATTTTCCAGAAATTATACCCTTGTTATTCATTATGGCTGACAATTGTTATTCTAGCCTATAAACAAACACATAATCAATTAGTACACATATCAACGGCCAACGTAAAAGCAGTCATTGTTTAAGGTCTTAAGTATCAACCGGTTTATAAATTACCATGGCTGCAGTTCCTACGCTCACTTTCATTGTGACATCAAAAAATTTGAGATGATGCATACATAATAATGATGTAGACCACACAATCATCTTGGTTGCAGTAAAAACGGCCATCAATGGACCTCTCATTAGGGCTCCACTTTATACCCACATCAAGGAAGCTGTGTCCTTATCCCATTACATTACCTTCGTAACAAAATGTAACATTACCTTGTAATAAGTATCCATCCATCCGCATGGAAATTGCAAATCTTATGGATTTTTTAATCTCCTTTTTAGAGAGAGGAAATAATACGCAAATTGAGGAAATCGTTTTGTACCTATATTCCGCAATCTTACTTACATGTGATCCAAAGTAATCCTTAATACCTTGATACTATGCTATTTTCTACTGTTATTCCTCGGAAGAGGCGGTAACGAAACTGTCATGTTAATTAATTTATTTATGCTATCGCAATTAGTTTGTCATAAATTATTTACGGTCATAATTTTTCCGTTTGCAAACAAGTGAATGTTTTTCTGACTTTTATTACTCTAATCGTGTTTGGCGATTGGCCTTAAAAACGCGAGCGCGAACAACGTTAAAAACAGCTATAAAATTCGAATGACAAATAACATCTTCACATGGTCTTCATTCTTCGTCCGTAATCCATTCCCATATAAGGTGCAGGTGACTACTGCATTATACATTTGCGGTGAAGGTCCGTAAAAGCTTATATATTTATTACCATCCTTCCTCAATATATTCTTGTCGTGTCCCGATGTGTGAAGTGCTTTTCTTACAGACTTTCTCAAGGTAATACAGTTACTAAGCTTCTTACGAGTTCAACGTCATCATTTTCATATGCAACTAATTGCTGTAAAAACTGAGCATTCTAATACGAGACAACACGAGTTGGTACAACAATATAGTACAAAGTACCATAGTAATCGCAGTATATCGTTACGCTCTCATGAATACGCCGTGATTACCGCGATTTACTCCATTAAAATTACTACTCACATTTCATTTGGTTTGTAGATAAAAATCTTAGTAGAAGGGTGGGTTATTAAAACAATTAATTATGCACTGTTATGTCACGTCATGCAATTACACGTCACGGTACCAACGGTAATGGAGTGATAGAGATCGCTGCAACAGCCTCGCGTTTTGCTGCAGAGAAAACTTGATGGCTTTAAATAGCAAATAGCAAGTAAATAACAGAATAACAGAGAAACTTATTTTATTATAATGTCATTATTATTAATGGAGTGGTAAAGAGTGATCAAATGCCATTCAAACATCATTACAGCCATCAAAGGAATGAAAGTTATCTTTCACCTGATTCTAATCGTGACACCCGACTCGTTAGTGTCGCTATATTCGCAGATAAACGAGTTATTTGCTTTACACCAATAACTTTTTTGCATTAGAAAGGTAAGTTTCTAGATCATTACCGTTTTTAGACTTCCGTGGTATACAATGGAGTTTACTTGATAATAGAGAAACCGAAATTAACTCACAACTTGCACGAACTGTGGGTATTGAACTAAGTATAGACCTATGGGTGGTTAGTGATTTACTAGGAAATTGATGAGAGAGCTGGGTTCGTGCGCGGGTCATTTACGCGCCAATGACGCGGTGAAACCAAATCACACGGCTAAATAAGTTTCGTCCGATAATTGTTAACATTACACACAATCGAAGCAACCGCAACCCGCATGATAGCTACGGTAACGGACGCGTTTTTGTGTGTACTCGTTTGGACTTTAACAATGCTTTCCTAAACAAAAAATCTGGTTAGAGCAAATTTGGCTTCACAGGAATTGGGTCACTAAATCATTGCACTATAGAAAACACTAGATACGTATCCGCTGTAAAGAGAGAAAATAAAATCATTTAATTCTTAACGAGACTGAAACCATTAAATCGATTCGGACCATTGACGGCTCTACAAGGAATTGCAATAGCAGATACGACGGTGACTTCATTTATTTTTTGTACTTTTATCTTAGACTATAGAAATGTACGTAAATACCAGCGAAACATTTACATGTGGTCGTAGGGGTAATATAGCCAATTAACTGAACGAGGATGCATAACATTAACTGTGCCGTCATCGTCATTCAAGTGGAGTTTGAGGGAAAGAAGAGACTTTAACTATCTACATGATCAGCCTACACCATTTTAGAATCCAACTTCATTCATCATAACATTTAATAATTATTTGCTGAAGATAGAACATACTACTCTATAATATGCAATTTGTTACTGCCAAACATTTGTAATCTGTGTACATAAGTGATTCGTTTTTTCCATATCCCAGTGAGATAGCTCCACAAAACGTTTTTCTCATGAATTATGTAGTAAGTTTGGAACCTAAATACCGACGTAGGATCGGACCCTTCTTCCTTTCTGTATAATTTCATGTTCCGATGCCTGAATAAGTAATGCAACGATTTCGAAACGTTTCATAAAATTTTAATTTCGGTCGATATTACATCGCATCGTAACATTCACTTACATATTAAATTTTTGACTGTGACGTAATTCATCGACTGGATGTAGCTGGAATAACTAAAATAGTTCGTTCTCATTTGTAAAATGGGATTCGTAATTATTTCTTGTCAGATGTATCGTGGATGATGTATGACCGCTGTAGGCGGAGCGGACATCCTCATATAAGCGAAGACAATGTTACAACTAGGAATGTCATAGCAATTTGCAACAATGACATAATACACAAACAAAGTGGAACGAATCGTAATCCGCTCCTAAAACGCATTCGTTTGTTCACGCATTAGTGCATTGCATACGTGCTGACTATGAAGTATGTTTCTTTGCCAAGGTCGACTTGTAAGTGTACACAGGCACATTGCCCTTTGTAACCAGTAAAAATATCCAGCGTGAAATTTAAAAATAGCACAAAACCACGAAATGCTTAGCAGGTTGTGCGGGATGAGGAGCATTCTTGGAAATACTGCGAACACTTGACGTGATTAATACGCCTGCGTTATTATGATCATTGTAAATCATAGCGAAGGGTACCACCCTATGTATGCAAATCTAAAGCAAACCTGATTATAGTTGTAAAAGCCATATTTTTTTACGACAGTGCATAATTTTTCATTATAGTGCCAGGTGACTTTACTGCTCTATATAGCTTTTTGTTTCTTTACTTTTGATTCTATTTGTGTTAATTAAATGGATATAAGATCCAGTATTCACACTTTCAAGTGAGGTCTAAGATTGAGATAAGAGACTCGGTTACGAAAATCAGAAAACGGTAAGCTTGAGAATCACTAACTGAATGGTGATCGTTCTCATATTTAACAATTTGATAAAGGCTAGTCTAAACTCAAAAAATGCTCTGAAAAAGACAATAGATACCTATACAAAAATATTTTATTTTCTGTTTCAGATAGTGCAAGCAGATAACAGGGTATCATCGTACTTAGGTGCTCGTTGCAAAGCTAAAAGCGACTGTGGCGTTCCCAACTCACACTGCGAAAGAGGCGTGTGCGCATGTCAACCTTACTTTGCACAAGCTGACAACTCTACCTGCCTTGAATGTAAGTAACACTTTTAATTTTTTACCACAGTTTATTTGTCGGTTTTATGTCCTGACCAGAATTATCATTATGCTGATAAAAATAGTACAATTTCCTAGAGTGTTTTCTGATGGTGAAAATGCTTAAAAAGATTTTAGGAAAAATGAAGTAACAAAAGATGATAATGGAAAATCAAATAGATAGGAAGTTTTACGGATCCAAAGCAACTATAAACAAAGACAATCAAAAATGTAATCCAGAGAATCTAAACATGTTGATTAATTTTTATTCCCTCTAGGTACCTAACCTCTAAAAAGTAATCGACATTATTGTATTTTTTATCTTTGATGGGCCGACGTTTGCCCACTATCTCGCCACCTATTCACTAAGGCCTTGAGACCCAGGTTATACCGTTCAGAAAATAGACTCTGGCAAACAATATATTGTACAATCAAATAACAGACTTTCCGTATAGCAGTAAAACATCGCACGTATGACTTAGTTCATTATCCTTTTTCCTGGCACGCACTATGTAATTGACGCACTTTGGCTCGCGGTTTTCACCTCTCATAGGTAATAGCTAATCACTCTCGTGTGGTATACTCTGTGGTCAGTGTAACAAATTACTTTCACTCAAATGATCATTAGCTATCAAGTAATGGCAGTTTTCATCATAGGACATTAAAATTATCTTCTGAATCATCGAATTCAATTTCGCTTTCTTCAGTAAATTGTTATTTGTAAATAACAGGTGCTAATAGTGGTCCAGTTTATGGTATTGCTAACTGTTAAATTCCACCATTAATTTTGTTTTCTCTAACAATAAATAACGTACACTTGTAGGTAGTATTTATTTCTCGCATTCTATTAACACGTAATACGTTATTGTTGAGTGGATTTATGGATTCTCCAGTTTAGTCTAATCAACAAGTTTTTGTATAATATTAGATAGACAGTTTGCTTTCACTGTATTTTAGTTAACTGTCAAAATTTTCATTGAAGACCAATATCCATTATAAACATTATATCTTCATCATGCCATTCGTGCCGATGAGTCTATTCGTAATAAAATATAATAGTAACATTCCATTCTGTCTAGATTGTATCTGTCTAGAGTCCAATTTGGACTCGCCAAAAGCAGTCAGCGATACGGACTTCACAGTTGGATTCGATGCGAATTGAGCTGGTTATCGTAAAGTATCGTAGATATTTTATTGTGATAGTACTACAACCTACAATCCCACGCTTGTCTCACTTTCTTTGCCACAAAAGTATAGGACCAAATCGAGAACTGGATCATGTGGACACTACAAGCAACGGTTCCTTCGATTATTATGTTACGTTACTACGAACAGTGACCAGCTCTACGGATTTTACGATGCATTGATTGAAACAGTAAAGTTTTTATTGAATACGTATCACAATCACGAGAATGTCTTCCTCTTTATGGTGTGTGCAAGTTTATGTATGAGTACTTGTAGCTATTAGCAGATTTTTTTCATATGACTGAAAATGCAGTTTTGTTAATACCTTTCGCATGACCAAATCGGGTTGGGACTAGTACTAAACTATGCCAGATTTTGTTTAAAGCCTGGTGTAGCGGCTTTAAGACTTCTAATAAGACAATGAAACAACTCCAGGTGTAAGTGTTCCCCTATAGACCAGTTGGTCCATATACGATTAACATATTTGTGGTGAAGGTAAAGCCTCAGTAGTTTTGAAGAGGAACTATTCACGGATGCGTTGAGTAACATACTTTATGGACTAGCAGGTCCAGTCAGGCGGCATTTCAAACTAGGACTGAATACAGGTACGCTATCCCAGCGACCATATTCAAGACGTAATCAATAAAATCATAATATCCCTTCATTACCTTTAATGGCATGTAATATGCCTGTGAAATAAATTGAATTAGGTATTTATTTAAGTTTATTGGCTTTGCCTTATAAGAAGACTTTTAAGTGGCCGGCCTATTCCCGTGCGGGGTGAACAATGAATCGCCGCCATCGTCGGCTAATTATTCAGCGATGTCGTTAAAGACCCTATTTTGTAACACTCGTCCATGTACGAACTTATTATGTATTGATGTCCTAAGTCTTACTATGTACGATATTTTCGAAATGTTGGTTGTGTAAACACTAAAGGGAAATGACAATATAATCGGAGTTGGAAACAAGGAAGTAATTATGGGAAGACATTGACCATCGAACGTTGGAAAGGAGGTACGGTATGTCGGTTCAGTTGTGAGCTGTCAGCTTGTCATATCAAACTTCCTCGTGGTCAGTGTGCCAAGCGTGAGCAATCATAAGAAATATAAACTGTTTGATATAGACTTTATCCGACAGTCTGATGACCAACTAAAAATAATTGCTTTCCTAATAATTCGCGTGAGCTGATTCTTTTGACATCGTAGTTACTATGACTTGATCATACCTTTTACGTCTTCTAAGACTGGCTGGTTCGAATTTTAAATATACTTTTCTCTTTCATTTTTCATCTATGGAAGGCATACATAACTATATCTACATATACTGAGAATATTATGCCCAGCTTTGCCAGCTATTTAAGAAAAATAAAAAGAAATAAAAAGGTGTGATTATTAATTTTGAAATTGATACATCGTTATTCGTTTTAAGTTCAAGTTTCTTTAATAGTAGATATTAAAATAAAGTCATTAAATACCCGTAGGGCGCCTACATTGTCCACGATGATAAATGGAATTGTCTGTTTACACGCAAAACGTGTTTCTTTTTATCGCTGGCGCTATGTTTCTGGGCGATAAAAACTTGGAAGGTGCAATTTTACTCGTGTCAGTTTGGAATTCCAATTAAATATTGAGGGGTGGTTGAATAGCAAAGTAATTTAAAAGGGCTCTATAGAAATTTTAGCTTTATTGGAGTAACCTTTAATTTTGTCATGTGTACAAAGAGAGGAGGCTAGAAGTTAAATTAGTAAACAGATTAACAGAATTGTTTAAGATTTCAAAGAATTGAAGACAATAGGAGCTCTAAACTGTAGGTAGTGATGAAAGGATTGTATCGAACGCTATTTAAAAATAGAACAGCGGCTTCGCTAGAATATCTGAGTAAGTTCCGTTGAAACCTGCATGCATGCCAGTTACCCCTAAATTATTTACGATGCGGCGAACGTTCGAAATTCAAAATTTAAGAGTTATGGAACAATTGTTTTTTTTTTAATAGCAACGTTGAAACGAATTATGACTAGAATTTGAGAAGAAGTTAATACGTAATAGAGTGAAACCCTCATAGAACCTAGCTTTAAATGTATTTAATTCAAACTAAATGCTGGTTTAAAAATAGGATCTATTTTCATTATTTAAACAAAAAAAGGATCATCCAGAATTCCAGATCCCGACACTCATCAACGTCCGTAGTTTAACGATAATATGCGCCCAATAAATCCTTGTCGTCTAAAGCTGAGTGCATGGACGCAACGTGAATATGTCCATCTCGTTTATTTGCGGTAGGTACCAATTTAAATAAACTTGTTGATGATTACGAGAGCGGCCCCGTCGGCAAGCTTCGACTGACTTATCGTCCGGTTTGCCAGCCGTAAATTGGTCCCGCTATCCTTCGAGGGTATGAAATGTAGGGACTCTTATCCATTTTATATTTATTTACTACTACAGTAACTGTTAGCTTGGAAACTACGACTATTGATCCGTGACCGACTATATCCATGGACAGGTAGAGGTTCAACTTAAGTGTTAGATATCGTAGTCATAAATTAGACATGGCCACTGAAATACAACCGATTAAATTCTATGGTAAGAAATAAATATCTAGGACATATTGAAACGTTTCAGGAAATTCATGGTTATTAGAGAAATCCCCTTAAATGCAGATGGTGTTAGTTACGCCGACTATCTTTGAGATTCTTTGTAATAACGGTATGCACAATTCGTGGTAAAGTTGAAAACAATCACGTACTAAATATTGGTTAATTATTTTGTTTGCATTCCACACTTAAGTTTGGGAATCTTACTTTCTAAGGGCGCGTCATAGAAAGCGATATAAAACGTTTAGTTCTGCGTGTTACACGCTTACGACATTTTGGTGGAAAATTGACGCGTACTTCTTTGTGCAGTCTTTGCAAGTCATCACATGAAGCTTGGTCTACAAAAGCAACTTTTATAAAAAGTGAATACCTAAAGTTCATTTGTAAATTGGATTAAAATATTTTCTGTTTAAGAATTATTTTATCTTATCCGTCCATTTCAAGTCCAAGTTGCACACACAAATATTTAAAATTGCAAGATTTTTTAAGCAATTCTGAATTCAAGTAAGTAGTACTCGGTACTCAGTGAAACGACTGTGAAACTCCAAACATGATAAGGTGTAAAGCAACCTTGTTTCTTTATACATTTTGGAGCAAAGGTTACGGTTACTTAGCGTTTCAAGAACTTTATGTTCGACAATATAATTTTCTTGTCACCTTATAAGTACACTGCTTATTTCACTCAAAATAGAGAAGCACGTACTAAACCGTGCCTGGGTACCATATCAAAGCATGTAAGCATGACATACTGTTTTTTCTGAGCAGTGCTAACGCCCATTTTGCATCCATTAACCCAGTTATGCATAGCTAACAAGCGTGCAGTTTCCTACGATGTAAGCAATCGTAATTTATATGTTCAAAACACATAGACATAAATACAGACAGACTGGAAAATTATACATAAAGACTCAATTGACTACAATGTTTCTAGGCTTAATATACAATGAACACGAGGAAGAAAATTAAGATTGATGTAGTACAGTGCCCATTGCTGGGTCACCAATGGTGCTCAGCTAACTAAAAGTTAAGAAATATTTGGCTTTCCTTAAAATCTGTATAGATATACGGAGCCAGTCTTTTCTTTCCTGTGTTTTGGTGACTGTACATTTCTATATTTACATTTATATGATGTAATTCACAACTATCTATGTTTGCATGTATAGGTCTCACACTTATCTACGACATTTGCTTCGTTCACCGCTTCACCGCTAACACTGTCTCATCAGTAATTTTGTTGTTTAGATACTTTTTTCTTCATTGTGTTATGCTGTCCAATTTTCCTACAAAAATATTATTGTTATGCTTGTCAAATAACTTTTTGCTTCCTTTTATTTGTGTTACAAAAGTTCGTAGTACCTACCTATTCGAATATGAATGAACGATAAATAAACAAAAGCTTGAGTGTAATCAGTGCCTTTTTTCTACTAGTCATGACAGAGTAGAAAAACGGACAGAAATCAGAGAGAACCCCCATGAAGTAATTACAACTATCCATAACTGTTTCCCATAATACACAAAGAAGGTGATTTAGGGCGCCTATGTGTAGACAACCGTTACATGAACATAGCTCCTTAAAAGGCTTGTATCTATCCGCCTGTCACCATCCCACTGCGATATCTAGAAAGACCCGTTTGAGAATTTTGGATAAATGAAGAGACAAATAACTAACGACACCGTTTCATTCACAACCTTCATTCTACGTATCGAATCGACCTTGACTTTGTATAACAAGATTATAATCTTCAGATTGGAAATCAAAAAGTCACGCACATATTCACTTTTTTCACGGTTGTCAGTGCTGTGCCAAATCTAATAAACGTAAGTATTCTCTGTGGTCGTCTCCGTTTTGAGATTAATGTGTCAGACATCTTAGATGGTAATCGCAAGAAATATAAAAGAATTATAAGTAATTGTAACAGGCCGAGCGTCCAACGTCTCACGTCCAAACTCGTTAAAAGCAAATGCTTGTAAATACTACATTGCGATTTAGTTTAATAATTTTAACAGCTTTTAATTAAATCGAGTTCACGTATGTTTATTAATTGATTTATTTAAGTGCCAAAATACGTGTGTTTATCTTCACTTTAATTGAATAACGTCGGAACTAATCAATAACGGACAAAGAGAAATGTATGGCGTTGACATAAAAAAGATCCGGCTTCCAAAATATGCAAATATTTTGATGAAAGAGAATTCCCGTAAATGATAAACGAATAGAAAGACACAAATGTAATCGTTACCTAATAGAAATATCGATCGGAAGGTGTGACTGATCAATGCGGCTGTAGTTAATAAATCTCTCGTGTTTATTTTATGTACAACGTTAATCGCAGCTACTTCTGACATTCTTGTAAACTGCCGCCCGCATACCAACCGGTGCTAGTGATTCTATTATTTATCGCTTAATCGTTCGAAAGTCGTGTTATGCATAAACATGTTTATTCTACGAAAGACATCCTGCTTTATTTTATACATCAAAAACAAACATATTAAATTCTTACGTTGTTTTACACAAGTAAGAACCTATGTAAATAAATGTTTAATACGACCTTATTACTGGTATTGTTTTTGACGTAGTAACGAAAATGTAGGTATGCATACTTACATTCGATGCAAATTGTCGGCCACACCCGTGTAAACGGACCAACAACGGTGAACTTGAAATCAAATAGGGTCGCACACGCCTCCAGGTCATGAACCCGTCACTCAGTGCACTGTCACCATAGAAACTAGGACATGTAGAGAAGACAACAAGGAGGTGTGACTGCAGGAAACTAGGACTGGCTGGATTATAATTAAACAAATGGTTGACAGATGAAAATAATTCAAATAACGAACACATTCTTTTTTGGTACGACAAGATGGTCATCACAGATAATAATAAAGTTTTGGTTTGTGTGACATGCATGTGAGCGGGAAAAATGTGCACAGCTGGTTTATCGAATCTCCAAATACAAATTTAATTTGAAAATAATGTTTTTATACTTTTTAAAAACCGTGCCATTGAGTTGCAATATCCAAAAATTTATATTTTATCATCTTTATCTACTTATCCAATAGATAAGTACCTAGGTGTTAAATAGTTTTTCAAGCCAGACGTGAGCAAAGGTTTTTGTTACAAATTGAAATTGATGTGATTGTCGGAATAATATGTAAATCATGAGCTCGTTGGTGATTGTAATATTCACAATAGTTTTATTGTGTCTTTCAGAATCTATTTTTGTTCGTTTGTGTTATTTTTTCTAGAAAGCAAGCAGCTTTTCACAATAGTGTTGTAACCGCGTCGTGATGTAAAATGTCTAGTCAAACATTTTTTACATAAAAACTGATATCTTTAAAACTTTCTGAAGTCACTTTACTTAATTATTAGATACTTTTTCGTCAACTACGACAAATACTCTTCTAACGAAGTTCTTTTTTGTTGCAGCGACTCTTCTAGGATCAGAATGCACGGTATCGGAGCAGTGCACGTTAAAGGTGGCATACAGTGCCTGTCTCGAAGGTGTCTGCCGATGTACTGATGGCCATCTGCAGTTCAGGAAGCACACCTGTCTCTCACGTGAGTATCTCCACTCAATTCTTAACCTCTTATCTGTCGGAATGTGAAACACTAAAACACATTGTGTCTTGCGTATTTTTTTAAAGGGGAGAATCATCGAATGACTGCATCCGCCTGGGTGAGGCGGGAGGGAGTGTCAGGCTCTTACTGACTAAAAATCACCCCTTTCCTTCTCCTGCACGTCGAATCGGAGCCCCGGTTACCCGTTAGGTTCTCCGCGACGTGTCTTGCGTATAGCTACGTTCCGGCATTCCAGGAGTTATAAGACAACGAACATTTTTAATTGTTTGCTTGCCAAATTAGTATTATAATATAAAAGGGATGAATATTGACTACACGGTTGGCGCAGAGCGTAGGCAACTGGCTATTGCGGAACGTGTGGCGGGTTCCATTCCCGCACGCACGGTACAACTTTTTGTGTGATCCACAAATTGTTGTTGGGTCTGGGTGTCATGTGTACCTATGTGATATTGTATCTTTGTAAACAAACCCAGGAAACAGGAGAAAATCCTAGTGTGGGGCAAAATTATTAAAAAAAGAAAACAAAAAGAAAAAAAAGTAATTTTAATGATATCTTCTAATTTTCTCCCAGATAACCTAATAAAATGGACGGCATTTTTTTTACGTTTTCGAATTCGTAACAATGAAAGTTGTATGCTCAATCGGGGCTTGTTCACTTACATATTCACCCCAAAGAAAGAAAGGAGAACTAATAAAGTAGAATGTTATTATTATGTTAAGTACGCACAAAAAAACAAATTTAGGTACTTAGAAAATGTTCTGGCTGAAAAACCTTACGATAACGATCGCCTACACAAAAGATAATCATCGACAACTATTAGATTGCTTTTCATTTCCCAATGCAAATTTCTATAACGATTTGAAATCGGTAAAAGGAAAAATGCGTAACATTGTTTTTTTTCTTTTTTTATCGTGACACTTTTAAATGGCTGCTTAATGAGCGTATCGGCTATCAATTACTTTTTCATTGGAAAACTGTCACTGGTCTCACCAGCCGGTAGTCAAACCATTCATTGTAAACAAAGTTCCTATAATTTACTAACTATGTATTAATAGAAAAATATTTCGTCAGTTTCATTAAACTGTCAAACACCAAGCGGTCACCGGTGACCGCAACCTATTGTTCTATAATTGTGTCTACAAAACCGGTACTCGACGAGTTAATCTTCGTATAATTAAAAAGACGTTGACGTGTGAATTTTAATTGAGAATTAGCCAGAATGAACATTAATTTCGGACGCCGGCGTAGGAATAGCAAATGTAGATGTTTTACGTAATTAAGTGAACAAAAACTGAAATAAAGTGACCGATGAACTCAAACTAGGTAGACATGTTCAATAAAACATGAGTTTTAATTGGAAAGTTAATTAAAACTTATTCAAACACTGTTGACATTAATATTTTCCATGGTAAAGTATGTACTACCATGTGGTAGGAACTTCCTGCATTAGTCCCTAACGCTTCCCATATTATTGATCGTCGTAAAAACATAGCGTATGGGAATCCCATGTTCAATGGTAAACAAACAAAACGAGAAAACAGAGACAGGCAAATTGTTGGAACTGGAATGGAAAGAAAGATATACCTATAAAATATTATAAAAAGCATCCTAACAAAGTTATAGTACTTCTCGTTTTTATAAAATCGAAAATAATCGTTTAATTTCATGAGCTTGTTTGCAAGTTATTGTTAGTTAGATGGCGCCAGTGAGGCGTAGAGTCTTGTTCCAATCACTGTATGGCTGTCAAAAGTTTATTCCCCGATGATTTCGCGATAAGAGATTAATAGTTTATTAGTTTTGATGCCTTGCGTTATACCAGACCTCCAGCGATGAGAAACTCCGCATTAATGAAAGTATAAAGAATGTTTTGATTCCTAACCACCTAGTAAAACATATATGTTGGTATATAACTTATTCACAATGAACAATTTAAAAAATTTAAATTTCTACTTAACATTAATTATCATGACGGGGATTCTTTGAATAGACAGCATTGTACCTAATTGTAAATTGTAATAAACTTTCGATTTCATTCAAAATGTCCCAATTTCTTTATAGAAAATTATACCAGTCATGGTTTAAGTTACTGTGTTGAATCATAACGAATAAGCCGTGTAATTCTCTCAAGTGGCTCGAGAAAAGTTCCTACGGAAATCAATTTGACCTTCATTCTGACATTACTACGTTGTACTAAGGTATTTTTAATGAATTGGAAAAAGTGTTTCGAATCGTTGTTAATTGTCTTATTTATACTAAGTATTCTGCCTACTCATTATCTGTTTGTTCTCTGTTTAATAGATCACAAAATTAAAACAATCACATTAAATTATTTGACTCCTAGTAAAAGTTCTTCACAAACGTTTTGTTACAACATTTGGACTGGCATACTTACACAAAATACCGTAATTTACTACATAAGGGCAAGCTACGTCACATTTGGTAAAAGCCCAATAAAATCTGATAGCGGTTGCTTAAGCCTCCTCTTCGTATTTCTCAATGGTTACGATGCTTTAACAAACCTTATTTCCGCGATTTATCGTAAGAGCTTTGTGAGAAAATGAACCAAGTAATTGTTCTGTCAAATCCACCAGTCTGCTCATGTGAACCGCGCTTATTATCGCACATAATGTGAGTATTGTAAAGTTGCTGTGAGAACTCCTAAGTATAGCTTTATAAATTCTTTACGTACCGCGATACCATAATAGAGATATGGAGATAAAGTATTCAGATCACGAATAAGGCTGACATTTTATCTCTTGACCTTCTTACCTCTAAACCATATGAATACGCAAATCAAACGCAGTAAATGAACGATGAAAGGTGGAATATATTTCACTATTTAATATCTCGACCTGCATCTTGTTTCGCGAAAAGGTTACAAGTTCAAATCAAAGTTGCGCGAAACAAATCATGAAATTATTTCGCGCACTTCACTGGGTATCAGATACAGTTAGACAAAACGGAATGATTGACGTAGAAGGTAATATACTTGTTATTTTCAAACAAAATTGATTTAATAAAAATACGGATGTACTAATGTATTATACCTAATAATAACGGCTCATGAAAAATAACAACGTAACATAGATATGAGTAGGTCGATAAATAAATAGCTAGTATAGTTGCGTGTCGTTCTTTACTGTTCCTGATTAACATATAATAGCCAATCAAATTACCATTTGTGATTTTACATTCACGACACTTTATCAAATTGTTGTGATTATATCAGCCATGGGAATGTAACAGTTATAAACATTATAATAATTTATTTGATTGCAAACAATAAACTATCAGTAAAATGACATAGACATACGAATCTAGTTGAAACTGTATCTGTCGGACTATTAGAGCATGTAATGGCAGACCGTATGCCTAGTCTCGGGAAAATTGCTACCAACTACTCTGTGCCCCAACAGTCACGATGTAGACAAATACCTCAGTGTATTTTATTCAACGACCAATTGCCGTGAGCCAATTGAACGTGAAACCTTTAAAAAGAACTGCATCATGTGCTACGTGTGCTTACGTGTGTTATCTTGTCATTTCAGCTGCACCGCCTGGTCACGTCTGCTACAGCAACGAACATTGTCGTTTATGGGACAAGGAGAGCCGTTGTGAATTCGTCATACTTAACCTGTTCGGTAGATGCGCGTGTAACAGCTATTTTAAACAAATCGGAGACAAGTGTGTAGCGCAGAAGATTCCACCTTATGCCACTGAAGCTGTCGTTGCGGAAATGGACGCTGTAGTTGCACCATCAAACGCAACAGTAACATACAAAGATCAAATACCTAATCCAACCGTACAACTGACAGCAAGTTCAGTAAACTCTTTCGGATCTCCTCTGTCCGTAATTAGTTCTGACGATATTCAGCCAAGCAAATTGCCAATGTACACAAACAAAAATGATGTGTTCAGCACTGACGAAGATAGCCCATTGATGCAAGCTGTCATGAAAGTGCCGAGTGTTGAACCAACAAAACGATTACCCGTCTCGAATAGAAAAGATGGCGAACCGAATGAGACAATTAGGGTAGACGAAATGACAGCTAATTTGCATGCAAATGATCAACCAATCTACAGGGTTGTGACACAGCCATCTGTAGAAAAGAAAACTAACAAAAAGGGTAGTGCGTCAAAGGAAAGTAATTCTAGCGGGAAACCTCACAAGGGTGGACATCAAAAGAAATCATCTCTGAAGGGTATAAAATATTTAAAACTAATAATTGAATTTCTTTTTATAAGTGAGTACCTAAGGTTTCTAAAAATAAAATTACTTTTCCAGACAAGCATCGTATCCGCACGGATACGCCAGTATACGACCTTGGCCCTGCATCTCTCGGAATGCCGTGCCTTACGGATCCGCAATGCCAACAAGTGGATCCATACACGCGATGCCTCAACAAGAAATGTGACTGCACGTACCGAACTAATTCTACTTCAGCTTGCTCGGCTCGTAATAGAGGCTGCCTACCAAACACGTTCCAAGTTAGTATCATGTTCAGATGTCGGGATGAATCGTGATATATGCGTTAGAACCCAAGTCCTTTATGTAACATATCCAATTGGTAAATTAACATTTTTACTTCACGGGATGGTTATAATTACAGTGTCGATCAACGGGAACTTGTATAAGTTGGTACTTCGTCTGCGATGGACGCAAGGATTGCCCCGATGGTTCGGATGAGAAATGTGAAGGTACTGGTAAAGGTTCGTAACTCTGCACTTTATCTTTCGCGCACATCTTTCATCTTCATTGTATCATCTCATTTCCATACTAATTTTCTACTTAACTTATTACATAATTTTCAAGGTATAGCAAATACACAATAGATACTACCACTCGTCATATTTATGTGCTTTAGTTAGATTTTATGAAAAAAATTAGTGTTTAATTTTTTATTATTTATTTCTTCTTTACCAAAGATAAAAGTGAATGGCGGAATGCCTTAAGGTATTCTCTGAGAGTCAACCATTTTAGTAGCAATTTTGACTTAAAAGGATAGATTTCGACTATAAAACAATTTAAAGATTTTCCAACCATCAAAAAGGTGGTATTTTAACATACCAGTCGAGTATCCTGCCCATACTTACAAATTCTAATCAGAGAAAGACCATTAAAGTGTTTTCCGTTTCTTAAAGAACATGCACATCATACTTAACAGGTACATTATGCACCTACTTACGGACTTACCGATTTATACGGTCATTAATTCATCAATGCAACCAGCATTTACAATCATTACTTACATAAAATGTCATGAATTCATCATTCATCATCAATTCATCATTCTATCATCCTAAGTTTTACAAGTGTAATTATTTCCTTTTTGCAGAATTAACAGGGGAACGGTGTCCAACAAACTCATTCAGATGTGGGGGACCTGGGTCTCCTTGTGTGTCTCGAGCATCCAGGTGTGATGGTACTCCTCAGTGCCCAGGAGGAGAAGACGAGAAGAACTGCCGAGCGACACGACGTAAAGGGTAAGTTAGGGGAACAACTAAAAAGGCTGACGGTCGAAATTAATAAATAGATCTTAAATTAAAATCTCTAGATCGCTATGAGTTGTTGACAGAAACTTCAAAGATTGTAATCCTACGACTTTGTATTTTTTTTTTAATATTTGCCGACGTTTGATAACTATCTCGCCTAGTGATAAGCTATGATGCGGCCTAAGATGGATTGAAATCACAAAATGCCTTAGCTGACCTTAGCTGCCATCTCGATCACCGAAGACCGGCTTTAGCGAAAAATTTGCCTTCAAAGATTTCCTATCGACATTCAAACAAAGGTTATAAAACTTATTGGCTATGTTGCACCTCGTATGTTAGATGAATGAACTCTTAAACCGTACCGTGGGATTATACCAACGCCATTGAACCCATAATAAAGTCATAACTACTCATAACATGTAATCACCGCTGTTAATTATTTCCTTCAGCTGTCCACGTCACACATTCCGTTGCGGTTCAGGGGAATGTCTACCTGAGTATGAGTTCTGCAATGCAATTATATCCTGCAAAGACGCTTCTGATGAACCACCGCATCTTTGCAATGAACAATCGAGGTGAGTTTTATTGAGTTAATTGCATTTTGGATGATTAAGTAGCTGCATATCATTCTATAGTTTTACTTCTAGTTTTAGATGTTGTGAATACTTACGAATACTCGTAGAAATGTATGGTCTGTAAGATTTATAGGTACCTACTTTCCTGTCTCATCAATATATCGAAGAATAATGATAGAAACATAAACATTGGATTATAATTCACTACAAACAATACTTTCTTTAACCTTCAATACCTATAACCATAACTCTTCAAAGCAATTTTCGTCTACGGACTCAGACAAATGTCCTAACCGTATCTCGAGGGCTTGAGGCATTGCCACAAAAACCTTATAAGCTGTTAGTTATATTTACCATTAGTAAGTGAGTACGTTTCGTAATCACAGCACGTGCGACCTGTAACGGTGTTTGTCCAAATATTTGACCTTAGCTTATGGTGGTAGTTGACACGTATGGTGTATGTATTCAGATGGCGTGCGGCTGACTTTTGTCCGTTCCGTTGCGGGAATGGCCGATGTAGGAGCACGGCTGTTGCTTGCTCGGGACGCGACGGATGCGGCGATAACAGTGATGAAATTGCCTGCAATGTCTGCAGTAAGTATATTATTTGCCAATCTAAATTTCAAAAGTTTGTGGATTTAACCGCTTGAATGCACCGATATGAGACACAATAGAAAATACATTGTGTCTCGCGTGGATCCACGTTTAGGATAGCTTAGTTGAGAGTCCCTTAAAAAGGACAGTAAAATATTCTGGCTTCAATCCGAGATTTCACTCTTTTTTTTTTATCTTAAGTTAAATAGTCTCTTAGACAGGTCATTAAATAAAACCAATTTTAGTACGTCAAATGGAAAAGAAACTTTGATTTCAATAAAGATAAAGTTTAAATTGCCTACCGAATTTTGTAGCCCTAAAAAGGTTCAGTGATCTTAAAGATCATCAGTTGATTAGAAGGTCAAGTCCTATCAAACTAAGTCCTGGGTCAGAATCTAACAACAGTTAAACCACAATTAAAAGAATAGATGTTAATTAACTAGTAGGTCACGAGACCTCAAACTCAAAACAACAATGCAATTCTTCTAAAATGAATGCAAAAAATTGCTTGTAACTTGACCAATAGCAGGTACCTACATAGCATAATTTCACCAATAATAGCGACGTACGGGTACAGTATTGTTGAAATACCAAAACACAGTAACATAATGATTTCTGACAGGAACTGTTAGCTGACCACTTGACCAAACATGTGAAATATGACGTCGCTTTCTGCATATCAGCGATTCGATACGATAAGTGATGCCGTTACGTGAACAATAGCGCTCAAACTATCTGGCAAGCGGTAATGGGTGGCATCGGTTTCTGTTGACCCACCAAACAATGTCTTATGAGATCTTATGTCCGTTCCAACAAATCACTCGTAAACTGTCACTTAACTAAAAGTTACTTAGTGTGAACAAGCACCTAAACTAACCCTTTACTTGTATTGTTAGGTGTCACTTATATTAGCTGCCATTTATCTTAGCTTAGGGTTTCTTTTATATTTGATGGGCCGACGTTTGACCACTACCTCGCCTGATGGTAAACGATGATACGGTCTACGATAGGGCACGTCGAACCATAAGCAACTTATTCACTCGTGCCTTGTTAATTTAAGTTTAGGAGAGGTTGATGAGAACGGGCATTAGTTTCCTAATATTTATGTTCATTTCTCTTTCAGGATGTCCCGCCCCACCGCAGCCTTGAACGTCAATCATCAATTCAAAGCTGACCATCTGATTGCTGGATCTCAATGCTCAATATTTTTGCGTATACAGTAAAACATTACTTATGATTTGTAAACTAGAATTCAACCTCATTTTTTGCATAAAACCTACAGATTTTTATTGTATAATGGTACAAACATGAATACCTACCTAATTAGTGAACTTGATGATTAATGATATTTTAATGCAATGTTTTATTGTTCGAGGAAAGGTTTAAATACACATTCATTTGGCTCATATTTAATGTAAGCTTAATAAATGTAAATATAAGAATATTTCTCTATAGCAACTAAACTACGACACTAGTTTAAAATGATTCAAGTCAAATTTTCTACGGACATTCTTCGGAAGTTTTGCTAACACATCTACAGAATATGTTTTACGAAATATCTCTAATTTAAGTGTAATTTAAGCCACGTATAAAACAAGACTGAAAAGTGATGCTTATATCCGTGAATTAGGTATCAACTTGTCAATTAGGCATTAATTGAAAAAGCTTAGAATGAACACAGCATTGTCTACAGATTTGCCCGCTCAAAAAAAAAATGTAAATATTTTTTTCAACTGGCAGTTACTTCTTTTTTTTCTATTCCACAGACTATTTAAGACGTAATAATAGATAAGATTTTTATTTCAAGTTTGGTGTGAATTTAGCTGGCTAAGCGCAGTCGAGTGTAACTTATTGTAAAATAGTGTGATTATGTGTGTGAATGTGATAATGTATTTATTAAATTAATTTCACTATAAATGTTCCAAGTATTTTAATTTATATCTTAATAAGATCCCAGGACCTTTTGATTTCTCCTTAAGAATGTATGAATAAGACAAATGCATTCTGTGCCCATCTCACAATTTCTTTCCCACAAAATTTTTTTGATTGTCTGTACAATATGAAATTCTAGTCCTGTGAAAACCTTTTGTCTCATATTTCAACTTTACTTTTATTTTTTGTGAATTCGAAAGTTAAACTGTCAAACACCATGCGGTCACCGGTGACCGCAACCTATTGTTCTATAATTGTGTCTACAAAACCGGTACTCGACGAGTTAATGTGAATTTTTATTTAGGTGGGTAGGTAGGCATATCTACCTATTCTTAAAATACCAAGGCGCACAGAATTCTTCGAGAGATATCTAGGTAAGTAGAGGTGTAACATTAATTATCTGTACTAGGTAGGTACCAATATCAGAAGTTACTAGACTTCTGATATTGGTATGTACCTAGTACAGAAAGAAAGAAACAGAAAGTTTACCAGAAGGTAAAGCGTATAGCCATACACTGTATTTTTCACTCCGTGCACCTGTTTATTAATTTTGATACCTGCTAGGAATTTATGAAGAACTAGCGGCCCGTCCCGGCTTCGCACGGGGGGACTTAAGATTTTTTACATAGTTTTTCGCGGACTTTTTTAAAAATAATGTTAAGATGTACAATTCATCTATAGAGGATTTTTGTATAACTTTAACTATATGCTCAGCGCACGCCACGGAAGGGCTCAGAAACGATACTTTTCCCCCGTTTTTAAAACATTTTTGGTTACTGCTCCACAACTATAGGACCTAGCGTGATATTATATAGCCTATGTTACTTCTGAATAATGCAGCTTTCTAATGGTGAAAAAATTATTGCAATCGGTCCAGTAGTTTTTGAGTTTATTCATTACAAACATACAAAAATACAAATCTTTCCTCTTTATAATATTAGTATAGACTAATTAGCAATCTCCATGACTTAGAGAGCAGGCAGTCGCATCTACCATCCACTTGACCAACGATGCATCTTCATTTCACGTGTCATTCATCAAACTCTAATAAATTACTACATTAACACTAGAAATATTTTATTTCACCCGTCAGTAACGACATCTCTGTAAAAAATACATAAGCAATGGCATTGGTAGTTCTGTTTAATGAACAAGAGGCAAACTAGATGTCGCTATAAGACACTTTACATTAGCTACAAAATATGATAACGAGAACGCATTCGATACGGTGTGTAAAAACTGAAAAGTAGGCGCTACGCACTAAGTGAAATTAAGTTCGGTACCCACCTACCTACATGAACACTTCTACTGACAATTATTTATTTCATCGGAATTTGCATTGAGGTTGTGTGGGTGGGTAGTTAAGGAATTAAGGCATCTCTAGAATCTACCTACATAGGTACTTCTAAGATCGAATTAAATCCATATTTAATGCCTGAAAATTATGAATCACATCGGGATGATGGTGTCGAGGAGATAATACTTCTGAAAAATGAAACAAAATTAACTCGTCGAGTACCGGTTTTGTAGACACAATTATAGAACAATAGGTTGCGGTCACCGGTGACCGCTTGGTGTTTGACAGTTTAACGCTGCAATTCCAAGCAAGGTTAACAATGCCGATGTCTGAGAATCAAATTACGAGTTTGAAAACTAAAACCATATCATTGCACTCTACTCAAACAATCCGATAAGAACAGTAGGTAATAAATGACTGTATATTGCTAAGATGCTTAACGACTAAGGATAGATTTGTGTCATAAGTATAACCTAAATGTCAGGCAAGGTATTTCGAAGAAGCATCATTTACCTACCACGATGCACTCCTCTCAAAAATCTGTGAACCCAATGAAACGGTATTATTACGGCAGTGCCATATGTCGACATACAAAGGTGAATACCAGGTGGTCAGACTGTGAGGGATGTTTATTCTCACCGAATGCAAGTTATTTATTTACAAATCGCAGAAACGCGCGTCGGATCCGCCGTCGTTGCCGCCGGCCCGCGCTGTCTCGTCGCTACTAAGTAGTAAACATTCAACGTTTCACGTTGTTCAACAATCTTTGTAATCACTACGAAATAACCTCATAAAATGGAAAGAAACAATAACAAAGTGCGTGTGTTTTTCAAAAAAATATCACGATTATTTTGGGGCCCAGTTATAAGGTTGGTAACATTTCATTCAGTTGGATAGGTACCCGTTATTAGAAACTAGGGATTGCCTTGCGGGTTACCGGGGCTTCGACTCAAAGTTACGTAGAGACGAGGTACTGGCGTTCCCTCTATCCTCACCCAAAGCAGATAAAGCCATTAAAATATTCTCTTTCATCAAAACAAAGTACCTACTGCAAACATTTGACAGAGACCGAACAGCAGCGCTCTCTGATAAACCTTAACGTGTTTAACTGTAATCCGATTGCCAAGCATGGACATTGTGGTAAACCGTCTTAGAATAGGTACCTAGACAAAGTCAAGTCAACTGTCATGGGGTGTGTTGATGACATAAGAAAAACAAACTTAGGTAGGTATCTACATTTTACCTTTTACATTCCAGGTTCAGAAAATTTACAAGAAAATGGAACATGAAACTGATCAAGATTATTGTAGCTGTCAGTGTAACGTTTGTTTTTATAGCATTTGTGGGTAGTTTATTTAGATTAAGAAGGAATATAATGAAGCCGATTAGTACGATGTCACCAAGGGAGGCATACTGGCTTGGAACTCCTATCAGTCACGTGGCTTTGGACGAGGTATATAAGGAAATAAATTCAAATATTAATCATAATAATACACACAATGATTATGTTATAGATGATGAACAACAAGCACCAGGTATGTATGTGAAATGGGCCCATCTTATTAAGTTTACTTAGGATAAGGTACGCATAATCGCATAGGACCCAGTATAGTGCCTATAGATTAACCACTGAGTAGGCGCCTAGGCATAGGACTCGTGACAACACCGAGCTGATCCTAAATTCAATGCTCCATACTTTCCAAAACCAGATTTATGAATAGGCCCTGATTAGGCCTTATGAATAGAAGGTGTAGTTTTGAAACCGTGTCATTTCTCGGGGGCATGTCACAGAAGTCATAAAGGTTCAATGTAAGAGAAAATTTCGGGCCAATAGTTATAATAAATCGTTTAAGATCGACCGTATTTCAGAATAAGCGACAGCGATGTTTCTTATTAGAGTTTTATGGAATTAGGAATAATATCAATTACGTATTTGAGTTTGTGTGTGTTAGGCGGCGTTATAAAGCTAGTTACAAGACGGCGGTGTGTAGTTCGCACTGACGGATTTCCGTAATTAACAGAAACATGAACAATATTTACCTACAATTTTTTTTATTGATTCGGACTCAGAATCGATAGCCCAGTTACCTCCTAAAAAATGACGCGGCTTTAAAACAACACCTTGTATACGTGGGTATGAAGGTACATACAACAGCAGTGAACTAAATAATATGATTACCTAATCACCATATCTCTACAATTTCAGCGGGAATGGTTGAAACTTTCGGCTGCAATATACCAGTAGCCGTGATTGATTATGAAAAGTATATTGTAAATAGTACTAAAACCAAGAACGATATGTGTGGAGTTCGAGCCGTATTTATACGAAAACATGACGACGATAAAGTTATAGCCCGAATAAAAATGCAAATAATGTCGAAATATGCCATGAATGACGGCAATATTCAATGCTGTTATAGATTTATTGTCGACGCCATACATTATCCACGTGATCGTCCGAGATTAATGTAAGTTACTTACTTACTCGGTTTCGTTTATAAAACTATTTTTAATGACTTTTAATCTGTACAAATACAGATTCATCTCCTTTGGTTCGATTCTCGCGTTGAAAAAAGATGAAATGATACCTATTCACAATTTTAGTTGCTAATAAGAAGGTTAGGGTAATACTTAACTACATGTGTTTGACAGAATTTCCCGCTGTAACAAAAAACCAATATCAAAAACCAATTTTCAGGTTCAGTAACTGCACATACTTTCAAGATACGACCATAATAACATTACAGTCTGATTTCATCAACGTGATATGTTCAGAAATTAGTATTAATGGGACAAAACAAATTATCTACGATGACATGTATGCCTTTAGCAAGAAAATTAACTTTACAAAGGCAAAGGAAAGTAAATGCAACGATCAATACAACGTTCTTATTCTGGGGATGGATTCGATGTCTCTACCTCGCATCGTAAAGACGATGCCTAGAACTGCTACTTACTTGAATGAAGACCACTGGCTGGGTTTTAGAGGATACCATAAGGTAAATTAACCACGACTATGAAAAATCCACAACATTCTTCATTCAAAAGTAGTCTCTAAAACTCGGTAATAAGGTCTATAATGGAGTAAGTGGAGAGCGGTCACCGGTGATCGCTTGGTGACAGGGCAGTTAAAAGCTGGGCAATTAAGCGAGGTCTTTGTTCAACAGTAGACGTCTTGTCGGTCTTGTAGCTAATATGATGATAGTAAATAGTTACGTGGTGGTGACCAGGAGGTTTATGACGCACTTCTGATACATGAGGGTGCTGGTTCGAAACCTACCAACGGCCAGTACCAATGTGACTTTTTCCGAGTTATATGTACTTTCTAAGATTATTTAAACACCACTGACAAGCGGCGAAGGAAAACATCGTAAGGAAAACTGCGGTTATAATTTTTAATTATAAGTTGGAAACCGCCAACCCGCAATGAGCAAGCGTGGTCATTAATGCTCAAACCTTCTCCGTGTGAGAAGAGGCTTTGCTCAGCAGTGGGCATTTATAGGCTGTTGATGATGATGAAATAGCTACCTACGTAGGCAGGTGCTTAGATACTTCACTTCATGAATGCGAATTATGTCACCGTTCTACCTATCGAAGTGACGAGTGTTATTGGGTTTTCGATTGCTTACTTAAACAAATTATCTAATAGGCTGGTTTGTATAACATGTTATGCAAATATCTATCATTGTAGTCGCTTTACATGCTGTTAACACAAGGTTTGGTTTCTAATATAATTAATAATAGGTTGCAGATAACTCACTACCCAACATAATGGCTGCATTAACTGGAAAAAATATGTCTACAATAATACAAAAGTGTCACGGATCCATGGACGCCTGTAACCGTTACCTTATTTGGAAAGCATTTAAGAATGATGGTTACGTTACAGCTTACGGAGAAGACAATTTAAAAATCGCAAACACTTTTATTAAAGACTATGCATTTCGAAGAGCACCTACAGATCATTACATGCGCCCGTTTTTTCTTAAAGGAGAGAATAATCGCCGAAACAAAACATCTGTATGCACAGGAAAAATATCTTCAGGGCAACAACTACTAGACTACGCTCTCGATTTCGCCAACACTTACAAGAAGGATTCTTTCTTCGGCTTTTTTTGGATAAATTCGTTTAGCTACGACGAAAAAAGTCGGCCAGAGGAAGCGGACAAACTTATAGAAAACTTTCTGAACCAGTTATCATACACAGGCATTATGGCAAACACTTTTATAATATTTCTGAGCGATCACGGTCTGCGTTTTGGAAATCATCGCCTCAAAATGGAAGGTTTCTACGATGATCGTATGCCAATGCATTTTATGTGGGTTCCTTTTATTTTTAAAGGCCAAAACTCTTATGAATTTCGTGCTCTGGCAATAAACCAGCATCGATTGTCTACACCTTATGATATGTATAGCACGCTCTTGGATATAAAGAGAATATCTTTATGCAGTAATTCTAGTGACCCAGCACCGGAAGGGTGTCGGAACTGCCACTCTTTATTCTCAGAAATCAGTGGCAACCGCACCTGCGAAGATGCGAACATTCATAAAAAGTGGTGCACTTGCCACAAACTATACCCCCTCGCCACAAACGACCCGATAGGAATTAAGAGCGTAAACGTAGTGGTGGATTACATTAAAAGGATGACAGTTACAATAGCCACGCAAAGATGCTGGAGTTGCAAAGTCCCTTCTTTAAAACATATTCACAGAATACATTTCTATTATAATTTTAATGCAGATAATTCTGAAATATATTATGTGATTGCGATTACTCTTACACCAGGTAACGCCACCTATGAAGCGACTGTATTGAAGAAGAATGACTATAGTATAGTTGGGCCCCTTAGTTTTATTTCTTACTACAAAGGATTAGGGCAGTGTGCCTTAAATCGTCAAGACCGTCTTTTTTGTGTATGTCAAAAGACTGAAAATTGTTAAGTTATGAATTTGTACTGATAAAGGTTTCTGTTTCTACAAGTGGTTACCTGTAGTGGAAAGGTCTGTTTAAGACTGTCTGTTAGTCATAGACGTATTTGGTCAGGTTGCTAGTGACCTATTAGGACCACCCAGATTGCAGTTTAAATGTGTAGTGTGCAATTCCGTAACGTACCCCGCCAAAATGTGTTCAAATTTAATATTATACTTTTATGATATGGAATATCCGCTATTTTTATTTGACTTGTAACTTAACACTGATGTGTTTAGTTTAAACAAAATTATTCTTCAGCAACAAATTCAGTTTCCAAGACAATTTAAAAAGATAATAGTTACGAACATACTTAATTATTTACATAGTATACGACATATGTACGTAGATAATGTTATTGAAGTTAAGTTGTTAACATAAAGTAAGGAGGATATAATATATATCTACCTTGAGAAATTCCTTTAAAAAATATATAATGTACTTATTTTAATGTAGATAATGTATGTAATCGGCGAAACGACTGTACTTGTTTAATTATAGTTTAATTACTGAACATTTTAAAGAAACGAGGTCTTTCTAAAGTTAACTTTTTACTCAAAAGAGTAACACTAGATATAAAACATGAACAGAAGATATATAGGGGAGGGAACTATTAGCTACACTGAAATGAAAATATTAAAAATATTTATAAATAATTTATGTCATGAATTTTAAATAATTAATACTATTGACAGTAAAACTAAAAATGCTTCTTGCACAGCAAATCATCACGTTAGTTAAATAAAATAATAATTATTCTACTATATTCTTCATTAAACTTGGAGACTGGGACTTGTTAGGGTATATGGCAAAGAGCGACAGTTGGATAATAGCTAAAATCGCTCCAACTAGATTGGTAAGCTGAAAAACATAAAAAAAAGATTATTTTAATAGGCTCATTAATCAAATTAATTAAGGTCTCAAGCACGACTAGGGAAATGGAGAAGAGCCAAAGGATTTGATTGTCAAGTCAGGCAAATGATTAAATATTGGGATTTTCGATTACGAAATTCAGTATGTAGTTTGGCAAAAATCTAGCCTATTTTTATGGGACTTAAATGTATTAGAACAAGACATAGTTAACAAAATGTTAATAATGTTAGGGTACGCCCACGCTACTGTTAAACATTTTGGTCAATATTTTCATCAATAATTTTCCTACGAATCTAATAAATTAATATTACGATACCTTTAACAGACAGCTTTGTACGAAACCAACCCGCGTTCTGCGCTTTGGTTGGTTGGATCATTGGAGCCGGCCAATCAGAGCGCTGAACGCGGTCTTGTTTCGATTACTTTAATTTTAAACGTAAAGCAAACTCGTACTAAGCCTTCTGATTGGTTGATTCATTGGAGCCGGCCAATCAGAGAGCCGAACGCAGTTTCTACTACTATTTTAAAAGTACTTAAATGAAATTCCTCAGTAGCGTGGGAGCACCCTTTAACAACGCACAAGTAAATATTTACATGTTATGCTGAAAATATTATTTTTATTGAGTGTGTGTAATTGTCTATGACTGTTATTAGATATAATATAGGTATATCAAAACTGGTATAACCTACATTCAAACTGTTTAATACTTTAAGTACCTAGATTAAGGATTCCTTGTAATATAGATATCAAGATTGATAATGTTTTGTACTACTACTTATGAAAGGCTCATAATTGGCATACATAAATGGAAGATACAAATAAATACTGCATATAATATATGACAACTTATACATAAGTTTAATTACACCTGAGATAATTAAACCCAAAATTCTTCTTTATGTAATTATCCCCAGTTTGATGACAATAATACTTATGTTTTTCTTCTATTATCCCCCTATCAAATATTATCATAATGTCTCGTTAATCTTTTTAATTCCTGACTTAATGTACCCATTTTTTCTAAGTTCGCGGAAGCTTGTGCATTCTCATTTTCATCATTTTATCTAATATTTTCAAAGCGTAAGAATTTGTTTAAGGCACTGGCTGCCAATAAAAAACTGTTGAAGGCAAATCCTCCGCTAATGTCGGTCACCGGTGACTGCCATGGCGTTTAACGTGTTAAGAAACAAAATTAAATAAATAAATATTGGACAATTCAATATTAATATCAGCTGATTCGGAAGTTTTTGGGGAGGCCTATGTTACTTACTGGATGTCTTGAGGCAGATAGGATGACGACAATGATAATAATTATTACGAAATAGTTGTACAATATTATTTAACTTACCCATAAAAAGATATCATCTTGTATTGTCCCATAGAGAAACCACAGCAGTGATACGAAGAAAGACATCAAAATCATTGGGAAGGGCAGGCACTCCGTGCTGTTTACTCTTACAACATGAAATAGTTTACTCAGAGGTGCTGCTATTGTTACTAACGTAAACAAGCTAGCTACAAAACCTGGAATATTATTTAATATTAGGTAATTAGACAAAACCAACGATAGAACCAACTCAAAAGTTGTAAATTGAAGTTATTTTTTTTTTAAAACGTTGCCCCGCATTAGGGTTTTCTCCTGTGTCGTGGGTACGTTTACAAACATACAAGTTCACATACACAATGACACCCAGACCCGAAACAACAATTTGTGGATCACACAGTATAGTTCCGTGCGGGAATCGAACCCGTGACACGTTGCACGGCAGCCAGTTGCCCAGCCACCGGACCAACCGAGCAGTCAAATAAAGACGATATACATACATGCACCGTGTATAAATATACTACCTACTGGTAAGTTTTAGAAATGATTAACAAGCAATTCGTGTCTGAAGCAATTCAATCTAATCAATAATAATATTCTTACCTAGTGTAACATAAAGTGCTTGACTATCATCTTCTATGTAAGTGTAACTTATGATAAAAGTCAAAAATATAAGCAAGCACAACATTTGTTTTAAAACGCCAGACTTCTTAAAAGTATATTTGTAAAATACTGCTGTGTATGATATCATTAGGGTTATGCCTATTATATTAACTATCATTATAACATTATCATTTTTATAGGATCCATATAAGTACCATAGGCAGCAGCTGTAAATTAAAAACAAAAAATGTACTTCTTCCATTTACAAAAATATTTTTTTTATTCTATCTGGCTTTACTTACCATAGTATGCCGCAAACGAAAGGAAGCGATGAACTCTCAGCTGTTGTTTTATTAAGAACATATTGTTTGCACACGAGGCTAAAACAGATGGAATACTGACTTAAAAGCAGAGCACCACTTGGAAACCCAAATATTATATTTTATATTATTCCGTGATAAACTTACGCGCCAGAGAAAAACTGCAATATTGTTGTAGTTATAGCGAGAGCGCTGATAATATTTCCTAAAGTTGAAAGTTGCATTCTGTCTCTACGTCGGCCTTATGATAGAATTTAAATTTTATTAATCAATTGTACCATTGTACTAGTCTGAGAATAGTCAACAAAATACCGTTGCATTATTTTGTCATCGTGCGAAATCAAACACTACAAACTACAACGTCAACGGTACGGTACTAGCGGACGAATCACATTCAATCTTTATTTCTTCAAGGTCCAGACAAAACATCTCAAAAATTACAAACAAATCAGACAGAAACTGATTCTGATTTTGTTGTCAGTGACAGTGACATTGAATTTGACAGTGAACGTCAAAAGCTTTTTTGTTTTTTAATTCCATGTCATTGTACGACTTGTGGATTAAGAACTTATGGAAGTAATGGAGTGCGCGACTCATGCAAAAACCGTTTGCTTTGTAATTACTTATAAAATAGCCTATGATTACTTAAATATTTTATGTAATTAAGTCGTCTAAGGTCTTTATTTTTAAAATCAAATAGATAGCCAAACAAGTCATTTGGCGTGTCTCCCGTATAATGGGTATTTATATTCTGTGCTGTGATTTCACTACACTACTGTCAATGTTACTGTCAAAAAGAAATAATCTTGTTGTTGATTAAAAAATGTGTTGTTGATGTTATAAAAATTATAAAAAACGTACTTTATCTGAAATGATTTAGATTTAATTATTCAGTAGATTAATATTGTGTTAACAATTTTCTACTTTTAAATCATGATGCGTCAATAAGTATAGAATGAAATAGTTTTCAAGATCATCATATTTATACTACAAAAATGAAATCTTTTAAGCTTATTGTTCATCAATCGAGTTTTAGCCGTAAGTACAATTATATTAAGTATAATTTTCGTGTCTAATTACAATTTAATATTACAATCCCGTTACGTTATGTGAATATGACTGAAATTCATAACACGAGCTAACGTAAGTGGCTGTTTTACTTATTGTATGCACTACCTATGTCAATAAAAGAATGTGTCGTTAAAGTCCATTTTATAAACAATTAGAATATTACATTACTACTATATTTACTATCTGTAAATACATTTTTTAGCACTGGACTTAATCATTAACTTGAAAGACTACCCAGGACTAAAGGAAAAGGATATTGTTGAAATATATCACCCTGAAAATGATTATCCACGGTTATTGCTACAAGTTACAAAGGTGGATGTTCCTGGACGAGGACGAGGTATTTATTTGTATTATTATTTAAGGTTTAAGATATAAAATGCAAAGATATTTTCAAGATAGTTACCAAATCATTAAGTAATTAAAACATATCTTGATCAGATCTCATACATTACATACATACAAATTATAATAGAGAAAATTGTTACATTTTGTGTTAGTTAATAGGAAACCTAAGCCTATTTTTTTGCAGCTTTATCAAATCTGACCCCTTGTAAACTTCACTCACAATAGACATTAACTCAAAATCATAATCAAAAGTTTTTAGTGTAACTATCATCTATTATGTTTTAATTAAATATGATCTATTATCATAACATAAACTCAAGAATACACTAGGGGACAAATGTCCTGCTACTTGAGTCACCAGTGACGTTGCCAGACTATAGTCGATATATCTGGCAACATCAATGTCGCCAATACATTAATCGGCAGGCTTAAGTGGGTGTTACATACAAAACACATCTGTACTTAATTTTTCTTTGCAAGCAATGACATTATTTTACATAATTTTTTTTTCAGATACCATCAGTGTAGAACAAAGCATAGCTATAACTTTCCAGTTGAGAACCTTTGCAGATGTTTATATGAACATCGTAAATGTAGCCGATGTGGCCCTGGACTCTGTGGAGCTCACATTCAAAGATCAGTACATGGGGCGATCGGAAATGTGGAGATTGAAGAACAGCTTGGTATTTATTGCATTTACAAAATGTTCCTAATATATGACCATATCCTAAACTTTATTTTACCTGAGACTTCAAAAAAACCTTCTTTCATTGATTGGAGTATTTTGGAAATCATTCCTTATTATTGCCCTACATTCCCTGGGAAACCTGGCCCAACCAATACCTCTCGTCCTATATTATGTGTCTGCCACTCAGCCATCAACAAGTTCTAAGTATTGTTATATCTAGATTGTCAAATTGTTGTCTTATCAAAACAACAACAATAAGCTAATTTACGATTTCATTTAGGTCAGCACCTGTGTATACCTAAACAAAAAGATAGAATATTGTGGTGGAGCTATAAGATGCCAAGTTTACGAGATGTGGTCCCAAGGAGACAGGGTGGCTTGTGGAGTCATCACCGAGGATACGAAGATAGTGTTCCGATCCTCCACTTCCATGGTCTACCTCTTCATACAGATGTCTTCTGAAATGTGGGACTTTGATATACACGGTGATCTGTATTTCGAAAAGGCTGTAAACGGATTTCTTGCAGATCTTTTCGCAAAATGGAAGGTAAAGAGTATATTATAATTATAGTCTCTAATTTCATTTATAACTATTTTATAATTGTAAATAATATTGTTTGGTTTTAATAGAAAAATGGCAGTAATCATGAGGTGACTATAGTACTGTTTTCGAGGACATTCTACAAAGCTAAATCGCTAGAAGAGTTTCCGCAACACATGAAGGAATGTTTGCAGAAAGATTACAGAGGCAGGTTTTATGAGGATTTTTACAGGTACTATTACTTTTACTGTTAAAATTAAGTATCTGATTGACTTACAAAGTGTGGGAGAGCCATACTTCGGCACGAATGGGCCGGCTTGACCGGAATGATACCACGACCTCACTGAAAACCGACGTGAAACAACGCTTGCTTTGTGTTTCGTTGTGTGAGTGAGGTTACCGGAGGCCCAATAACATCTCCTCCCCAGTCTCCCCTATATTCGAATCCCTCCACAATCCTTAAATTTCCAATTCCCCAAGGCCTGGAAAACATGTAACGCCCCTGGTGTTTCAGGTGACCATGGGCGGCGCCGATTGCTTACCATCAGGTGGTCCGTCTGCTCGTTTATCGGCGTATGCCAAAAATAACAAAATTATTGTGGTATTGTGTGTATGTGTGTTTGTGAGACATTAGGCCCTTATCTTAGTACCTAGTAGTTTCGGATTGCGAATGTGTTCAAAACGAAGCGCATGCGTAACGAATATACGGCATTGTATTGTATGTATTACGGGAGCACAACGAACACAGACGTTGCGGTCGCATAGCAAATACGTTGTCTTAAGCGGAGACGCTCGTAAACCGCTAGTATGATAAGGCCCTTCGGTAATTAACTCCTATTTATTAATATTATTATCTACTTATTCCAGGGTCGCAGTTCAAAATGAGAGATATGAAGACTGGTCAAATGTTCTCCTACAATTACGGAGATTATTCACAGATTACCAAAAGATTGTGCTACAGTACCATGAGAGACCGAACATGGAAATACCGACTGCTATCAATTCTACAGCAGCTCAAGGAAACTTTCTTGAAGTTTTAAATATGAGTTTGAATGGTAAGTGGCATACATAGATATTTAATTATACTGGAGGTAAGAAAAATTGTGAGCAGTTTTTGAGGTATTTTTGGTTCACATAGGCACAGATTCAAAAGAAATATATAATATGATTACTAAAGTACATACACAATACAGATATGTAGGGCCTCTATAATAAACACAAATAATAAGATAATGTGTTTTCTGTCTCTTATGCTTTCTCATATTGTTTAATTGTGATTTAATACATTATCAATTTTCTTTGTTCTAGTATTTGAAAAACACTACCTGGACAGATGTTTCGATCGTACAGGCCAACTGAGTGTAGTCATAACTCCCGGAGTCGGTGTGTTCGAAGTAGACAGAGAGTTAACAAACGTCACAAAACAACGGATTATAGACAATGGAGTCGGAAGCGATTTGGTTTGCGTCGGCGAACAACCTTTACACGCAGTACCATTACTAAAATTCCATAATAAAGACAATAATTTGAACTCCATAGATGATTACTCCATGCCGCATTGGATCAACTTATCGTTTTATTCTACTAACAAAAAAGTTGCCTATTCGAATTTTATTCCAAGAATCAAATTGCCTCCAAGAAAGAGTCAGGAACCGTTGAGAAAAATGTATGAGGATGAACGTAAAGGAAAGTTATTAAAGGAGGATGAATATATGCATAATTCTATATTTGACTATGATGCCTACGATGCTCAGGTGTTCCAGTTGCCACTGGCTCATAGCACGTGGTGAGGACTTCCATTTACTACCATGATTATGTCTCTAACAATTGAAAATGAACTGGTCAACACAAGTTTCAAACGTAGTTTAGATTCAAAATTTATTAAATTTCATAATACTTATAGTAAATGCGTTTCTCAAAAAGAATTTATGTTATCTGATTATATTATTTCTTTTCACATAATGCCTTCCATAATTTATTTCAATTAGACTAGAAAGGCACTTTTTAAAGTCAACAAAAAAAAAATTAAATATGAAGCTATTTGTTCATTCTAAGGTGTAGATTCCTATGGAGAAGAACGAGCAAGAATCTCCATAGGTTACTCTTTATCTTGACCAAATACCATTAATTTGACCAATATCATCAATTATTCCTAATAAATAAATATTTTACCAAGGTTTCTGTACAGAACAAACCATTTCTAATATCTTGATACAGTGTGCAAAGAGTATCAAGAACAAAGAAGACATCTGTAGCTGGATTAGAAGGCATCAGTCGCCGGAGCCCGCCGACATCCAGTCTACATCATAGAAAGATGTCGGATCCTGATATACATCATACAGTTGCTGACATTCTGGCCAGTGGTAGTAAGTGTCAGTAGATATCTTTACATTTACATACTTATTTGTATTATAACCAGTAATCGGAAAAAGGTGAGCTAATTTAACTAAATATAATTAACAGATACACATATATAATTAACAGATTTAAAACTATTTTTTATTTTTCACAGACAAGCAAGGCGCCTACGACACAAACAGTGATGCAACTGACTCACCTCTCTCAAGCAATAGACTGTCCCCACGAAGTTCCATATCGTCCCACAAGCCGGTGATTAGAACTGGACGAGCGCTCATCAATCCGTTCGACCCTTCACACGTTACTGTCAAACTAACGAGTAACAGACGTCGGTGGACGCATATTTTCCCCAAAGGTGGGTAAATCAGTTTTTAATTACTTGTTACTGTCCACCGTAAGACTACTATCGGTTGCGCTGCAGCGCTTATACACACATGCACACGCATATTTTTATCCGTGTGCGTACGCACGCGTTTTTATGCACATTAATATGAAATCACTTACGCATTGCCGTGTGAACATCACTCACGGTGGCAGTGGACTTTTGACCATTGACTGTTCATTATTAAAATAAGAAGGTTCTCAATTTGACATGTATGTATGTTTGTGCGTGATTATC